TATTGGGATATAAAATCCAGCCGAGTATCAGAAATTTGCAAGTGCTCAGGTCCATTCGGCCTAGAGTCCAGAAAACTGCACGGCGCTGCGCTAATGATTACTGGATCAAACTTTGTGAGAGGATACAAACCTCAGCAGCTACTGGCAACATAAGAAGAATGTATGCTGGCATCAAGAAGGCTATTGGGCCAGTAAAAAGAAAGATTGCCCCTCTCAAATCAACCACGGGCGAAATCATAAAGGATCGGACAAAGCAGCTGGACCGATGGGTGGAGCACTACTCAGAGCTATATGCTACAAGCACCCTTATATGTGAAGAGGCCTTAAATGCAATGGAGTGTCTGCCAACCATGGGTGAACTAGACACGGAACCCTCTGTCACAGAAATCGGTGAGGCAGTAGATGGGCTTCCTTCAGGGAAGGCCCCAGGAGAGGATGGTATCCCACCTGAGATCCTAAAATGCTCCAAGGATGCTATTCTTCCTGAGCTACACAAGATCCTCTGTCAGTGTTGGCAAGAAAAATCGGTACCACAGGATATGAGAGATGCCAACATTATAACTCTCTATAAAAATAAAGGAGATAGAAGCGACTGCAACAACTATCGCGGTATCTCTCTATTGAATTATGTGGGAAAAGTCTTTGCTCGTGTTATCCTTAAGAGGTTGCAAATTCTAGCGGACAGAGTATACCAGGAATCACAATGTGGGTTTAGGGCCCAGAGATCAACAGTTGATATGATCTTCTCCATCAGGCAGGTACAAGAGAAGTGCAGAGAGCAACAGAGGCCACTGCTCATTGCTTTCATAGATCTCACTAAGGCCTTTTACTATGTCAGCAGAGATGGTCTGTTCGGGATCCTTGAAAAATATGGATGCCCACCTATACTACTGAGCCTAATCAAATCCTTTCATGAGAATATGAGGGGGACCATAATTTAATGAGGATTCATCATCTCGACCCTTCCAGATTCGAAATGGAGTAAAGCAAGGATGTGTTCTGGCTCCCACGCTGTTTGGCATCTTTTTTATCGCATTATTGAGGCGTGCATTTGGGCCAGCAACTGAGGGATATACCTCCGTTTGAGGTCAGATGGCAGTCTTTTTAATCTGTCCAGGCTACGTGCAAGGACGAAGGTGCACACGAGATGCCTCAGGGATTTTCTGTTTGCGGATGATGCAGCCATTGTGGCACATTCAGAGGATGACCTGCAGATCCTGATGAATCGCTTTGCAAATGCTTGCAAAGAATTTGGGCTTACCATCAGTCTGAACAAAACACAAGTGATGGGATTGAATGTTGGAAATCCACCAAACATTAGTGTGTATGACCATCAGCTGCTGGCTGTAAATGAGTTTGGGTACCTAGGCTCACGTATCTCAGGCAATCATTCTCTGGATGCAGAACTAAACAAACGTATAGGAAAGGCCTCTGCTATGTTTGCAAATCTCACAAAGAGAGTCTGGTCAAACAAAAAGCTAACTGATAATACAAAAATGAAGGTTTATGAGTCTTGTGTCCTGAGCACATTACTGTACGGCTGCGAATCCTGGACTCTCTATGCTCCACAGGAAAAAAGACTGAATACCTTCCATATGCGCTGTCTGAAACGCATCCTTGGTATATTATGGCGAGACCTTTTCTCTAACGAATGTGTGTTCACAAGAGCAAAAATACCATCAATGTATTGTATACTGAAGCAAAGACGTCTGCGCTGGCTGGGACATGTCTCCCGCATGAAGGATGGTCGTATTCCAAAAGATCTCCTATATGGTGAATTGGTAACTGGGAATAGACCTACAGGAAGGCCAAAGCTGCGCTATAAAGATGTATGCAAACGTGACCTAATAGATACCAACATAGGCACAGACATGGGAAAAATCAGCTGCAGATGGACTACTATAGAGACAGAAAGTGAAAGACGGACTGTCACATTTTGAAAGAAACCGAACACAACGAGCTGTGGAGAGGAGACACCGGAGAGTAAAACTGCCTCACAACGAGGGAGTATCTGCTTTTGTGTGTATCCTGTGTGGCAAAGGCTGCCATTCCCGCATCGGACTTTACAGTCACAGCAGATGCTGTTCCCAAAGCCAGCGGCACATCTCCATAGTTCCCTGGGACTGACGGATGCCATTAATTTCCAAATCCAGTCCTTAAAGTGACCGACAGCACAAGGCAGACAATGTGCATGAAACATGTGAGCAAACACGTCGTTTTCTGCTGTGATGCCACGACTGCTTTAAAAAAAAAAAAAAAACTTTATTATCTACTTCGTCAAAGGCCGTTGTCGTGTAGCGGCTAGAATTTCACCTGCGGACGCAAAGATCGTGGGTTCAAATCTCGAGTCGGATATTAAATTGAATGACATTTTTTGCTTCCTTGACGACACTTTTGTTTAGGCCCTAATAAAAGCAGACTCTTTGTTTAATTGTCTGACTGTATAATTTATCGTAACAATAATACAGCTCTGGAAACGGAAAGTTCTGGATTAGAGGACTGATCAACTGGCAGGGGAAGGTGCGACAAAAGAGCAGCCGGATGTACCAGTCACATACCAACAAAAGAAAATAATCATTAAATCAATCAGGAAACCACCAACCCAAGCACAAGACGACTATTTTATTATGGACAGACCAGAACAAGTCATTATCCTCCGACTCAGAACAGGGCACAACCGATTACGTAACCACATGTACACAAAATTCAAGATAGGTGTATCAGCCATGTGCACCTATGGAAATGTGCCCCAGACAGCAGAGCATGTACTCCAGGACTGCACCGAATTTGACACATTAAGACAAACCTTTTGGCCAGAAAGAACAACAGTGGAACGTAAACTTTATGGACCACTGAATTAACTAACAACGACAGTCAAATTTATACAAGAGACAAAACTGCTTATATAGACAACTTATTACAGGCGAACAAAAGAATAAGAAGAGGACTCGACTACCAGCCGATGTGACGTTTAAGTAGCACAACAGGATAAAAACAACTATGAAATATCTCAAATACATTTTTATTGTGAACTGTTTGACGTGAAGCACACTGAATAAAGGTACGACCAACATACCCGGGAAAATCAACAAGCAAGTCATAAACAGGAAAAAAAAATTAAGAGAACTAATAACAACTTGAAAACCCTTTAATTTTACACATACACTGTCCATTTACTTTTCAACATAATTTCCACTAACATTGATGCACTATATATCCATCATTTTATTAGTCCTCCCAGGCCTGCTGCATAACACTGACAGCTCTGCTTCTGAAACCACATTTTCACTTCACATTCAACTTCTACGTCAGTCACCAAAGGTGGTTTTTCAGTGGACCAAAAAGGTGGAAATCGCTAGGGGCTAAATCAGGGCTGTAAGAAGAATATTCCAGAAGTTCCCACCCTAACTGGTTAGTTCTGTTCTGAGTTAACAGAATCGTATATGGTCTGGCGTTGTCATGAAGGAGCAGTTCTCCTCTAGGCATTAGGCCTGGATGTTTTCTTCGTATTGCATCATGAAGCATCGATAGAACTTTCAATCGATCATGCATTCTCTTGTATGCTGAACCATGTGAACACCCTAATGCAGCTGCTACAAAGTCAACCGTTACTCGCCTGACATCTCTAATTATCTCCTCCACCCGCTGCTCGGATGCATCTGTTACAATCTCAACAGGACGACCAGATCGGACTCCATCAACAATTTTAGAGCGTCCTTGAGAAAATTGTTTTACCTAGCTATGCACCGTTTATCAGCATAAACAGGAAGCATTTCGTTATGAATGTCTTTTGAAGGCAGCCCCTTTGTCCCCCCCCCCCCCCCCCCCAAAACCTGCATTTTGTTATTTGAGGGTACACTCTGTAAGTACAGTCGCCATTTTGTTTCTGTGTTAAAAAGGCGCATACACTACCTAGCGCCACCTAACGAACGGAGACATAAAGTTGGATGTTGCTGTCACCCAATGATACCTTCAGAAACCACCAGCTACATTTGCCTGCCATTCTATAACTATTTCTAACTTATTGACATCCTCTTGTAAATTCAGACTGTATTTGGTACCATTGGCATTGGTATTTTGTGCTGGCTGCTGAATATGAGGACAGAGCGCCTATGGAAATTGGCAGAATGATGTGATGTCCATTCTCAACTAAACGTTACATCGACTTTTGAAGACTCATACTTTATATCCTTGTATTTCATATTTTGCTCTGAAATAACACATCTCAAATCAAATGGTTCAGATATTTGTCAAGATTACCTCGAGATAGTGCGCCACAGAAAACCCTTCACTTAGATGACACAAATGGAAGCAGTTCTAGAGGTCGCTAAAGCAAGGCATGCTCCATATGTATCTTCAAACCTGCCAATGAATGACAAAACAGGAATAAAGTAGAGGAAGAAGAATACATCTCAAAGAATCCTTGGAGAATTTCTTGTTGGTAAGGAACAGAATAAACAAGGAGGAGGTTACGACCGTCATATTTAAGTACTGAAAAGACAACCCTTAAGTCTCTCGAAAAAAAGCTTTTTTTTATCTCATGGGCGCCATTTCTATCCAATGTCTGTGAGTTACGGGCCTTTTCGCTCTTGACGTGTTGACCAGTATTTATTTCCGGTCAACACACGTGTCATGTATTCTACTGGTCTGACAGCAAGGTGATTTCTATTTGAGATACGTCAGTTAAGTGATTCTATGTATTCTTGTTTATACAGGTGGTATTGAAGACCTATGTAGTGTGCTGATAAAAGCTCTCTAGCCGCAACGTTTTTGTGACATTTGTGTCTGTGTGATACTGGGAAGCTGTTTGGTTTGATATCTTTTCGTTTGGTTTGATATCTTTTAAGGGTAAGAGGTAATTGTGCCTCGCTGATATTTGTAAAGGCAGAAGTACGGACATGGCTACTTCAAGGTCTAACGAGCTGATAAACGTAACAAGTATTACAGACGATACAGTCCTCATGAGTGAAGAGACGCTTCATTATTTTACTTTGATAAACATGTGGGTGTTAGGCCAGTGTGTGACAATCTTAGGGCTGATTGTCAATGCACTGAATATCGTCGTCTTTGTCCGACAAGGCTTGCAAGACTCTGTTAACATCAGCCTTCTTGGACTGAGCATTTCTGATTTTGGATCTTTGTTTTTTCTTTTGTTGGTCAATCTTTTTTGGACGCCAATTATAATGCAAATGGATTTATCATTCTACCCTTCCCAGATTGCGTATGTCTTTATCTGGACGCATATTGTTTTCACAAGAGTCAGCACCGGCATAACAGCTTGGATCACATTCGAGCGATGTTTATGTATTGTAGCTCCACTCAAAATCAAATCTATCATCACTCCCAGGCGAACTATGGCGTGCATTGCTGTTATCTACGTGATTATGATAGCATCTATTGCTCCTGTGTTCTATGGAGTCAGAGCCGTCTGGAAATTTGATACCCTCCGAAATAAATCCGTTGTGGTGATTGTCAAAATTCCCGAAAGTGTACAAATAGAAAGAGGTACTTTCTGGATAAATAACATCCTGCCCACAATATTCCTCATTTTCATCATTACGTGTGCAATTGTTCTGGTGAAAGCGCTGAACAGAACTGCCAAATGGAGGGAAACTTCAACATCCTTACATAACCGTGAAGATAATCTCAAACAAGTTGGCAAACTGGTTTTGATTATTTCTATAGTTTTCATCGCCTGCTATTCCCCTGGAACTATCGTTTTTATGTTTGTTCTCATCTTTCCAGACTTCGGCTACACGCGAAAACAAAAGAACCTATTGGTTGCTGTTTTCTCTTTTATATTTCAACTTGGAGCGATAAATGCTACTATAAATTTTTTCGTTTATTTAACAGTGAGTTCAAAGTTCAAACGAACATTTGAACAACTATTCTGTGTTTACTGCAGTAAGAGGAAACCAAATTGTGCTAAAGAAAAAACATGATTTCAGTTACCTTGTAAGTCATCCTCATCATCATCCCCACCACCATCAAATTTATCATCATCATCATCATCATCATCATCACCATCATATTTATCATCATCACCTCTACCATTATATTCATCGTAATTATCATCATCACCACCTTCATATTCATCATCATCACTACCAGCATCATATTCATCACCATCATCATCACCATCATCACCACCAATACCACTACCAACATATCAACTTCCATGTTTTCCATCAAACAACATTGAGAGAAAACAATTTGCTATTCACGGCCCGATGGGTAGCACTGGCGATTGTCAGTCCGTCTCTAATGTCATCGATTCATTCTCTCTTCGGCCGCCTACTTTTGCGTTCACGTCAGATCTTGTTAGGCCTAGCAACTATCAGGCCATCAGTCGGGGTTCCAGCCTCGTCAAGAAAGGGAAACTGCATAATTACACAATTTTTGCGCCAATTAACACCAGAATCGCACTTGCTGTAAATATATACTAGAACGGTTTGAAAGGTAATGCCTCCATGGAGATAACTTTGCTAATATACACAATGTACACAAGAAATACATTCATTCTTGATAAGTCTTTTAGTAAGGTACGATTGTTTTTCAACGCGATTATTACCACGCTTAACTTACACACGCCAGCGTGGAACAGGCTTTTTGAAACCCGTCTAAAGAAAAACATCGGGCTATTTTTGGCCAAACTAGGAACGCTTAACAGTTGCCACATCCTGGACAGAAGCATATTTGTTTCCCTTGACATGTTCCTTGAGCTTTGGTAATAGGAAGAAGTAACAAAGTGCGAAACTGGGACTATATGCTAGATACCTTAATAGTGTCGTCAAAACTGAGACGCTCGCCGGGCTCTCTAGCGTAAGTGGCTAAACCGGATTGCGCGGTGAACGGGTGACGAACTCCTTGTGGTCCGGGTTCACGCCTAGGGATAGGCAGAAAAGCCACATTTCTTCCAGATTTACGGTATTTACAATGGAATTAAGGCGGAAGGGTTGCGATATCCATAATACCGAGCCTACGGGTTAACAACTCATGGCTTCTGGATACTAAAACAAAACAAACAACTGAGACGCTCCAACGCTGACCTGTTTGTTAACTCGTGTGTGGAAGAGCATTTTCATGTTGACGAATCGTTTGTTCGATCTGGCGTTTTCCACGCATCGTTTTTCAATCACGACAATACTGTCAGCTCTGATCGCTATGCGAAAACGTTGCAGAAACTACAAGCAAGATTGCTGCCTGTTCGTATTTTGTCGCTTGGTTTTAATTATGCAGTGTGACAGGAAACCTTTTTCGCTTTTTCAAGTTCAAACTCCCAAATAGTTTCTTAAACGAACGAACGAACGAACTTTATTTTCAAAGAGGCCCAAATTGGGCACGCAGGCCCGTCTTACATACAGCCTTTCCAGTCAACCATCTTTCGCACAGCAGTTGTTTTTTACTAATAAAGCATGTTATGATCATATGATACGTGCAGATATATATATGTAAGTACAGCATGAGCAAGATTCCTCCTAATTCTGTTTTCACACTAATCCGAAAAGTATAGGCATTCTGTCTATTACCCTAGGTAGTCTCCTAGTTTGTAAAATCCGCATCGTCCTCATTGCGAGCTGGCACCCGGCCTGTTTCAGCTGGAACCTGACGTTGTATCACTAAGCGACTCTACCCCTCTCTTTACAAGTATCAAGGCAATATTAGTAACCACTTGTGAAATTATGTTTGAGAAAAGCAGAGATCATAGCCAGTAGAGATAGTAGGAGAAATGAATTGATAAAAAGATCTATTGGAACAATACCCATGATTAAATTCATTGAGAAACAAAGAGTAAAATATGTGTGCCACCTGGTGAGAAAAAACTCACGTACGGGGACAGCTTCTTCTTCTTCTTCTTTTTTTTTTTTTCCTTCTTCTTCTTCTTTTTCTTCTTTTTTTTATTCTTCTTGTTCTTTTTCTTCTTCTTCTTCTTCTTCTTCTTCTTCTTCTTCTTCTTCTTCTTCTTCTTCTTCTTCTTCTTCTTCTTCTTCTTCTTCTTCTTCTTCTTCTTCTTCTTCTTCTTCTTCTTCTTCTTCTTCTTCTTCTTCTTTTCTTCTTCTTCTTCTTCTTCTTCTACTTCTTCTTCTTCTTCTTCTTTTTCTTCTTTTTCTTCTTCTTCTTCTTCTTCTTCTTCTTCTTCTTCTTCTTCTTCTTCTTCTTCTTCTTCTTCTTCTTCTTCTTCTTCTTCTTCTTCTTCTTCTTCTTCTTCTTCTTCCTTTTCTTCTTCTTCTTCTTCTTTCTTCTTTTTCTTCTTCTTAGCGTTAGCCTACTGTAAATTGCTGTGGGAAGCTGGTTGTTCGTCCACTTTTGGTTCTTATTTCCAAACTTGTGTTTTGCACATGCGTTTTATAGTTTCATAGATATTATATTGAAGTTTTATAGATATTTTAAAGATGCTTTATATATTTCTTTTTAGATTTGTAGAGAGGCTGTTTTTTCCTCACTAGGAATTTTGCTTTTTGCCAAACATATTAACTAACTTCCATTACATCTCAGCATAACACGTGACTTATTTGTAGATGATTGTACAGTCTACACTAATAATGAGAACTATTATCAGTTGGGGCGTTCCTTACGTAATGAACTAGATAAGCTTATTAAACAGAGTAATTTAATGCAAATTAACGTTTAAAAAATCTAAACTCTTGGTAGTAGCAACCAGACTTAAGCTACAAACATTAGGCTTGCACAATCCACCGCTTGAGCTCTATATTGACAAATTACCTATTAATAATGTTACTGAACACAAAACATCAGGCCTTATTTTTGACCGCTATCTAGCTTGGTGTTTTTATGTTTATGCCTTAACCAAGAAGGTAGCACAACAAAGTATATAAACTGGTCAAAATTCAGCACTTTCTAGATCAAAATATACGAACAATATTTTACATATCCTACATCCAAATCCATATCGTCTTTTGTTACAGTCTGGGATGCTTGCTTTAAATCTAACGTAAAACGACTGTGTTCTCTACAAAATCTATCTCCGATAGAAAAACACATCGATTAAAATCATCTCTATGGGCTTCTAAGACATCTGCCAAATAATAAACGATTCAGTTTTAACAAAGCCAAATTTTTTCATAAAATATTAGCTGACTACACTCCGAATGGTCTTTTCCGGTTGATTCAAGCCATCTCTATAAACAGCAATCGACTAAATGTATTGCATTTGCCAAGACCTAGAAAAGATAAATATAAAAACAAGCTTGTCATTTTCTACTGCTCATTTATGGAATCATCTCCCACTGGATCTGATAAATACAAAAATGTTTACTCATTTAGCCGCACCGTTTTTCAATTCGTGCTTACTAGTGATTATATGCCATCATAAATGTAGTTAATAATTCTATTGCAGTATCATTTTACATACATATAAGGTGTTGTGTATGTGTGTGTGAATGTGTGTATGAGTGTGTGTGTGAATGTGTGTGTGAGTTTGTGTGTGTGTGTGATATACACGTATGCATGTATGTGTGATATGGATGTATGAGTGTACGTGTGCGTGCTTGTGTGTGCATGAGTCTGTGAGTACGTTGCAGATGTTTCGGTATTTGTTTATGTATGAGGTCTGATAATGTATGGGTGTTTGTTCATGTATGGGTATGTAAGAATGTATAGGGATATATGTGTATTTCTGTATGTATGTGTGAGCGTGTCAGATTTGATTGGTGCCTATGTATGATTAGGTCCATGCGTATGAATGTATACTTGTAAATATGTTGGTGTATGCATGGCTTTGTATAAGTGTGTGTGTGTGTGCGTGTGTTGGTGTGTGCATGTGTGAGTGTGAGTGCATGCTTGGATACACATGAGTGTTTGTGTATGTTAATGTTAATGTATCTGTGAGTATGTATAAATGTGGTGTATTCATGGGGGGGGGGGGCAGATGTTTAAGTGTTTGTGGATGCACGCATCTGTTTTGTTGTTTGTTTGTTTGTTTGTTTTAGTATCCAGAAGCCATGAGTTGCTAACCCTTAGGTTCGGTATTATGGATATCGCAACCTTTTGGCCTTGATTCCATTGTAAATACCGTAAACCTGGGAGAAATTTGGCTTTTCTGCCTACCCCCGGGAGTGAACCCGGACCACAAGGAGTTCGTCTCCCGCTCACCGCGCAATCCGGTTTAGCCAACTACGTTAGAGAGCAGGGCGCAAGCGTCTGTAGATATGTCTTCTGTGATGTTTGTGGATGTTTGAGAGAAAAGAGAGAAAGAGAATGTATGTGTTATGTGTGTGTGAGAGAGAGTAAATATATGTGTGTGTGTCTGTGTGTGTGTGTATGTATGTGTGTGTGTGAATTCATGTGTGGGATTTTTTTTTAAATTTATGGGCCGGCTATATTCAGGGCCCCCGACCAAAGCCAGAGTGAGGCTTCAAATAACGAAAAATTGCATTCGATATGGGGATAGTGTGCACAATGCACGTATGTGTGCATGTGTGCATAAAAGGTTATGGTGCATATATATTTATATGAATGTACAATTAACTATAATGCTCACATGCAATCACACACACACACACACACACACACACATATATATATATATATATATATATATATATATATATATATATACATACATATACATACAAGGTCCGACAATTAGATAATGAGACTAATTCCATAAAAATTAAAGTACTCAACAGTTGTAGAAAAAACCTGTATTTAATTCAAAGTAAGCTCATTGTGCATCGATACAGCAAGTTGGACGATCTAAAAAAAAAACACTGTAACAACCTCTGTAGTTTTTCTGTTGTTATGGCCCATAAAGTCGATGATACAACCCTTTGGATGTCAACAGTATCGTTAAAGAAGCGTCCTTTCAATCATAACTTCAATTTAGCGAATACAAAATAATCACAGAGAGGTAAATCTGGAGAATAGGGTTGAAGACTGACAACACACACTTGTTTTAGGACCAAAAATTCTTGTTTTGATG